CAATCGCAATGATAAAGAGTAGTGACTGGCCAATCTACTGTTATTTATTATCTATGGTTTACAATATTTAAATATTTTATTTTGTCAAACATATATTGCCGGTGAGAAATTAATGAAAGAGTTTTATGAACTAAACACGTTTAAAATATTCTATGTACTGAAGGCATTTTGATTAATTTAATTAAGTTTTAGATTTTCCCTTGATAACTATTTCATGTAGAGAAAGGCTAGAGAGGAAATTATTTACCCTTTAAAAATTCTACTGAAAACTTTAAGTTTAGAAAATGAAAATAAACTAAAAAAAAAACAACCGATAAAATTCAATGATGTATGTGCATGGATAAATCTTTAACTATAATTTTTTAAAGTATTTGTTCAGCATACTGGGATGAAAATATCAACTTCAGGTAGCTGGGCTTGTCTCAGTTCACCTGGTTTATAGTTGGAAAAAATTGATAGGGAGGAAGATGGGAGTTTAATTATTACAGAACTATTAAGATAAGGTGCTTTAGTTCTATTTAACACCATTTTGTAATAATTATTAAAAGACTGGAAGGTGTGCGTCTTAAAAAGTAAATAGAGAGCTTATATCTACTACAAGGTTATTTTTATGTCTAAATATCAGGATGATTGCTTAACATAATTTAACATAATTTTGTAATACGCAACACTTACTGAAAAGGATGGAGGTTGGGAGTCTTAAAATTCTAGAAATATAGGGTGGTTCATTTCTACTACAAGGCTCTTTTTATATGTCTAAAGACTGGAGGTGACTACCTTCTCACAAATGATCGCAGACAGCGGCAGACAGTAGGAGTTGAGACGTTGTGGGTTGATCCTCCGTGGCTACTAACTAGTTCTTCACCTGCGTTCGGATCATGTCTGATAGATGGAATATTCCCAGTGCTTTTGGGATCTATGACTACAGGCATTTTCCATTATAACTTAATGGTAATGTCAAGGAATGGTAACAGATAATTTTTATTTTTTAGGTCTCATTGTGAACATTTTGACTTTAATTTGTTAATTCCATTATTGTAATATGGTTCTGATTTGATCGCCAGTTACAATTAATGTAATATATAGTACTAGAACTATTTATATATATACTAGCAGAAATACCCCCCCTCCGGGCAGGTATAACTACTAGTTCCCGCGGAAGGCTATTGGGCCTGCGGCCTTTTCTGGAATTATCTGACACTTGTAACGAATTTGTTGTTATGTATTTATTTTAATATGAAAGTTGTTTAGATTAAGTTTCTATCTAAAAACATGCATAGCTTGTAGTGTTAGATATGTATTGCGAATCTCCCGCCTATTCTCCAAAGTTGTAGAAGATTCTCGAGAGTAAGGATCAACGATATATCTATATACATAACCGTTTAAATATAGCTCAGTATTGTTATGTAATCTGAATTTTCTAGAAAATCTTCCCACGTCTATAAATACAACCAATGCGACGCGCCTAAAAGAGAGTGTCTATTAGTAGTTCGCTATAATCATTGTGTTATAAACTTCGAAAGCTATAACTGTAATTTTTTAGAACGCTTATCAATAGAAAAACTTAAGATATTTGACCAGGAATACTTATAAATTTCGAACATTTCAAGTTATTTAACTTCAGTGGATTCTCTTCAACGGTGGAAAACAGCATGTGTGGCCAAGGGCATAGCTAGCTAGCTTCCGGGCGAATTGTATCTACATCGACATGAATTCTTTGTTGTTGTTTTTTATAATTTCGCGCAAAGCTACACGAGGGCTATCTGCGCTAGCCGTCCCTAATTTAGCAGTGTAAGACAAGAGGGAAGGCAGCTAGTCATCACCACCCACCGCCAACTCTTGGGCTACTCTTTTACTTCCGAATAGTGGGATTGACAGTCTCATTATAACGCCCCCACGGCTAAAAGGGCGAGCATGTTTAGTGTGACGGGGATTCGAACCCACGACCCTCACCATCCATGAGAAAAAGAATTTTATTGAAATTTTACTTTAAAAATGAGCTATCATCGTAGCATTACATCACAGAGTAGATTTTATTGACGTATTTCTTTGTAGACGTAGTTATCAATGAAAGTGCTTTGCTTTTCTGTTGCAACACTCATGAGATTTTCAGTAAAGAAAAACAAATATTTTTTTAAAGTTTGTTTTTTAATTGTTTTATATTTGAAACTTGCTCCTTTTTGTAATTTTTATTAGTTAAATCGGAAACATATAATTTTTGTGGAAATTTCAACTGTTTTATTTATTGCTCAGCTATAAAAATACTGCCTAGTTACAAAAGTATTACCCAATTATTATTGGTGATGATTGGTGCGGTAGTTTTCGAGATCCGAGTTTTGGGCGAATACATCGCAAGCTCCAGTATAATAAGATATATATTTATTTATATATACATACACACACACGGCAACCTACAAGAATTTGCAAACGAAATATTTCAGTAAATGTTCAATAAAAATTATGATTCGCTAGCATAATCAAATAACGTTACGTGAACTGTGCTGTAATGATCATATTCACGGTGAAAATCAGTTACTGCAGATTTTTGTTACGCATTTCTTTTTATTAGCTCATCGCTGCTTTGAGTTGAGAAGTCTGTAAAAAAATTAGATTTATATTTTATGTGCAGCAAATCAATAAGCAGGTGGTACATAAAATATAGATTTAAAACGCTGTCTTACGTATCCCTAGTTTGAAATTCGTAATGAAGTAATTAATAGGAGTGTGGGGAAAAATTGGTCTAGCGTGATTTTTAATCAAAAATATAAATGAACTACTAATTAGTAATTATATTTGTGCTTATTTTGGACTAATTCTAATATGCTAAGAAGCAGTTGTTGCGTCAGCGAGGTCACGTAACTAGTATCACGCCACGTTTTCTAGAAATATCCTGTTCCTTCATGAATGACCTAGTATTTACTAGATATGTATTAGTCTTATATATATATAAGACGGTCACAACGTGACGGGACAACAGAGGTAATGAGTAATTGAACTGCAGTCAGAGAGATTATTGTTGAGCACGTGAGAAGTTCGTTGAGAATTATAGCGTTTGTTAAAGAGCGACTGTTGAAATTAAGTGTATCGTAAAGTTGTATTCGGAAAGAATAAACCAGTTTTATTTAAGAAAGGACTTGTGTCGCTAAAGTTTCGTCGGAACAAATTTACAGAAAATTAATTAACGAACGTAGACGTAACACAGTATTAATTGACAAAACTTAGCTTACTTTATATAATGTCTCATTAATTTTAACTTATGTTTTTGTTTTCTAAATATGATTTGCAAAACTTCTATAACAATTTTATCTAGATTTAAACCTGTACATAGAGTGTTGCCACATATTTTAGAAAGCAATTTAAAAACAAAGATAAAACCTTTTAAAAAATGATTTTATGTGCTTGATTGTGGCGTACTAAAACAATAATTATGTTGCGTCTCTGTTCGTTTGTTAATTTTCCGTAAAAATTCTTTCCGAAGAAACTTTAGCGATACAAGTCCTTTCTTAAATAAGACTAGTTTATTCTTTCTCAATACAACTTTGCAATACACTTAATTTCCACAGTCACGCAATAAATTAAACAAACGCTATAATTCACAACGAACGAACGATTCATGCGCTTGACTCAATT